ACACCAACTCAAATTAGTGTATCCCACTAACTTGCATTCTTTTCTTTTATCAGCTGCAGGAAACAAAATGCCATAGTCAAGAGTTCCTTTGAGATACCTTAGCATCCTCTTCACCGCTGCTAGATGTGATACCTTTGGCTTCTGCATGAATCTACTTACCATACCTACACTATATGCTAAGTCAGGCCTTGTATGACAAAGATATCTCAATGATCCAATAAGTATTATGTATTAGGTTGGGTCGACATCATCTTCATTTGCATATTTTGACAGTTGCAGTCTTAGTTCTGCAGGTGTCGAAGTTGAGTTGCATTCTTCCATCTCAAATCTCTTGAGAATTTCTCCTGCATGTCTTCTTTGTTACATCATCAAACCTCTACTGCTCTTATAGAACATGATGCTAAGAAATATGAAATCTCACCCAGATCAGACATTTCGAATTCCTTGCTGAGATCACCTTTGAAGTCTTCGATCTCACTTTTACAGCTACCTGTTATCAACAAATCATCTACGTAGAAACATAGTATAAGCAATTCACTGTTGCTTCTTCTTACATATACTCCATTCTCAGTTCTGCACTTCGCAAATTCCTTCTTCCTTAGGAAACTATCAATTTTCTTATTCCAAGCTCTTCGAGCTTATTTCAATCCACACATGGCTTTATGCAGTCTATACACCTTTCTCTCTTCGTCATGTTTCACAAACCCAACTGGTTGTTTAACATAAACTTCTTCGTCTAAGGGTCCATTTAGGAATTCACACTTCACGTTCATCTAACATATGTGCCATCTGTTTATTTCTGCTAGACCAACAACCAACCTGATTGTTTCGATCCTAGCAACAAGTGAAAAAACTTCATCAAAGTTTATTCCTTCTTTCTATAGAAATCCTTTCGCCACAAGCCTTGCTTTGTGTCGAGTTACTTCCCCTTTCGAATTCCTTTTCACTTTGTATACCCACTTGACATCAATTTCCTTCTTTCCTTGGGGCAATTCGACAAGTGACCAAGTGTTATTGTCTTCGATAGACTTCACTTCTTCGTTCATTGCTTTCACCCACTTTGAATCTTTCAATGCTTCAACTGCATTAACAGGTTCGACATCTGCATACAAAGAATAATGTACCAACTCACCTTCATTATCTATCACATCATCTGATGTAATCACACAATCTTGCAATCTTACAGGCATGCGTCTTGTTCTTTTAGGCCTGCTTGTACTCGGTTGATATATAGTTTCTAGTTCCTCTTATCGAACTTCTCTTTCGACTCGAGTCTCTGGTTCTTCAAGTAGGATTCCCACTGAATCTTTCTTGACATTTTCAGTCCAATCCCATTCTTTAAACTCATCTATGATCACGTCCCTGCTGATCACAATCTTCTTCTTCATTGGATCGAACAACTTGTAGCCTCCAGTCAAATGATATCCAACTATAATCATTTGACTTGACTTGTTATCAAGTTTTCTTCTCAACTGATATGGCACATGTCTATGTGCAATAGATCTAAATACCTTCAGATGACTCAAGTTAGGCTTCACATCAAAGCAACATTCTTTTGGAGTAATTCCTTTTAGCTTCTTTGTAGGACATCTGTTCAAAATGTATGTTGCAGTCGAAACAGCTTCACCCCAAAACTCTTTAGGTAAATTCTTGCCTTTCAACATACTTCTCACCATATTCATGATGGTTCGATTCTTCCTTTCTGCAGTTTCATTATGCTGTGGAGTATAGGGTGGCACCACCTCATTCACAATCCCTTCCTTTTCACATAACCTGTCGAAGTCTTTCGACACATACTCTCCACCACCATCAGTTCTCAAAACTTTAAGTTTTCGACCACTTTGTCTTTCGACCATAGACTTAAACTTGGCAAATACCTCGATCACTTCACTTTTCTTCTTGATCAGGTAAGTCCATAACTTTCGACTGAAGTCATCTATGAATGTAACAAAGTATTTGTTACCTTCCATCGAATCCACCTGGGTTGGTCCACATACATCAGAGTATATGACTTCAAGAATAACCTTCGACCTGCTTCCTGCATCCTTGCTGAAGCTATTCTTGTGTTGCTTCGCCTGCACATATTTCTTACGTACCTCGTTTGGAATGTCAATTTCTGGAAATCCTGAAACCATATTTCTTCTCTTCAAATCTCTGATGTCTCTAAAGTTGAGATGGCCTAGTCGATAATGCCATATCCATTCATCTCTGCTAGCTGCAGTCGAAAGGCACTTGTGCTCCATCACATTTAATTTGATCTTGAAGGTTCGATTCTGAGACATAGGAGCCTTCAAGATTAATCTTTCATTTGCATCGACGACTCTCATCATCTTATCTTTGATCGACACTTTATAATTATTTTTGACCAACTGTCCTATACTGAGCAAATTTCTCTTCATGCCTGGTATGTATAACATATTGGAAATTACTGACCTCTTGCCATCTTTCCTCATGATCATAACATCACCAATACCTTCAGCTTCTAGGGTATTGTCATTTGCGAATTTTACTATATTTTTCATTGAGGGCTTTATGTTGAAAAACCAGTCTTTCCATCCAGACATATGTGATGAGTATCCTGAATCCAAGTACCATTGGTCCTTGAATCTATCTTTATCTCTTGTCGTGACCATCAACATCATCTCTTCTTCTTCATGCTTTGGAAACTTTGCATCACTTTCTTGATTCTTTCACTTTTTTGGACAATCACTTGAATAGTGACCATACTTCTAAATATTGTAACATTGAATGCGACTCTTGTCAGGTTTTTGACCACCACCTCTTCCTCTATTTGCAACACCACCTCTTTGGTTGCCTTGGCATGGTCTTCTTTGATTCAACATATTTCCTTTGTTCTGGTTTCCTATACCAGTCGATTTGTTGTCACCACCTCTATCTCTGTCGAACCACTTTCCTTTGTCTTTGGTTTCTTTTGTTGAATGTGTCTGCAAAGCCACATCACTCTTCGACTTGCCTGCAGCTCTTTCATTCATTCTTTATTCATGAGATTCAAGCGTCACTTGAAGCTCTTCCTTTGTCAATTTTGACAAGTCTTTCCCCTCTTCTATAGCCACCACCACATGGTCGAACTTAGGAGCCAAAGATCTCAAGATCTTCAAAACAACAGCTCTTGTTGTTAATGTTTCTCCACATGCCTTGATTTGATTCACTAGTTTTGTAACTCTAGTGAAGAAATCAGATATACTTTCACTATCTTCCATCTGAAGAAATTCATACATTCTCTTGTGAGTTTGTAACTTCACTTCTTTTACCTTTTCTGCACCACAAAAGGACTTCTCAAGAACATCCCAAGCTTCTTTCGCAGATTCTGAATCACTCACTTTTTTAAAATTTTATGGACTCACACATTGATGAATTATAAAAGAGTGTTTTATAACTCAGCTTCTCAATTTCTGTGTGTTTCTTCTTTTCTTCTTCTGAAGCGTTTTCTCCAAGCGCTTTGAATCCATCTTTTACAAGATCCCAAAGACCTTGACACATGAATAAAACTTTCATCTGTTTGCACCAATTCTCATAGTTGTCTATTTTCAGAATTGGTAGAGTTGTTGGATAATTTGCATTCCCATAATTTGCCATCGTGAATTCTTTTTCTTCCTCAATCTTTCGTGATTGATACTTCCCTTGAATCGAAACCGAGCTCTAATATCAGATGTTGGAAATCCATCAAATATCTATGATGAATTTCTACCAATCTTGATGCTTAAGATTGATATCACCACACAATGACAATGAATTATGAGAAAAGAGAAGAAAAGAAAGAAGACAATTATTTTCTCCAGAGTTTCTCTCACCCATAAACCGTGGAAAACTTTATTAATCACTTGCAGCTGCAAACTCTGTGATTACAATGAATTGTCTTGATTACAAACTTAGGGTTTACTCCCTATTTATAGATTTTGGTTAGCTCAAAGCCCAAAACTATAAAAGCCCAAAATACATATTTTGATACTAAATCAAATCTATCTATTTTAGATCTAAATTAAATCTATTTAAATCTAAAACAAATTTAATTTGTGTGTTCTTCGACACACCATAGTTTTGACACTATGAATTACAATTTAACAATTCTTTAGAGATGATTTATATATTTTTCAAAAACTATATAAGAAATTCATTATTTTTCTATTTTTCAATAATTCTTTATATATTATTCGGAAACTATATAAAAAATTTAATATTTTCTAATTCTATAGAGATGTTTCATAGGTTATTCAGGATAAATATGATATATTATTTTATTTTAGAATTGCTTTTCTTATACAAATTAAAAATATATTTTTCTTGACTTATTTAATTGGTAGTTCATTCAACTATTACCAATTAAAATTGTAAATCAATTTTTCTTAAATATAATTAAAGTTGTAGTCAATTATAAGAATTACACAAAGTAATTGTTTTTTTATGTGGCATGAACATATATAAAAATATATTTATTTACTATATATTTATTAATTATTTTATGATTTTTGTTAATTTTGACCAATTTTTTAGATTATATCTTGACTTTTTGCATGCCAATTTTTAGATTCAAACAGACTGATTAGATTTTTTATTTTTGATTTTATCATTTGAACTGACGGGTCTGATTTAATTTTTATTTCCATAAATTGAACCTTATTATAACACTCGAGAAATAAAATATTATTTTATATCAGATAAGTATGAGATATTAATTTTTTTAGAATTGCTTTTCTGAAATTAAAATATATGTTTTTTTGACTTATTTAATAAGTAGTTCATTAAATTATTACGAAATAGATATTGTAAATTAAGTTTTCTTAAATATAATAAAATTTATAGTCAATTATAAGAATTATACAAATTAATTATTTTTTATGTGGCATGAATATATAAAAAAAAATTATATATTTTTACTGTATATTTATTAATTATTTGATATTTGACGAGTTCTATATAAACCTATGAAATTCATTTTAAGAATGAATCTTATTTTGCTTTTGATGTTGAAGTTATTTGAAATGGCAAAGTTTTCTTTCATGTCAATTATCGTCATTGTCTTCTTTATTTCAGGCATGTTCAATTCTATATAAGTGTTGAATTCTCATATGTTGGATAACAATATTCTTTTAGTCAAGTATTTATAACATTTTTCTTAACAAATAGTATTCATGATTTTAGATGTTATCTCATATCCAAATTTCTAACCAAACATTTTTCACAAAATTATTGTAAGTTTTTAAAAGAATATATAAAAATTCACTTTAGAGTTTGATATTTGGATCTTTGTCTCTTAATTATTTTGATTTTTCTTTTTTACAGTTATAGAAATGACAAGTGCTACAAACATATTGGCAAAAGAATGTGTCATCACTCGTGATGGTCAATGCATCCTTGAACCTTGCAAAGAATGGTGTTTAAATACATATAAGGGTCATGGAGCATGCGTTGCTACAACTGGAAATCCTCCTACTTATAAATGTCATTGCACATACTATTGTTCCACCTAGAACAAAAATATCTCATTTAGCTTTAATTTAAATGTAAGACCGTATTAAAATAAATGGTTAAATTCGAGATAATTACAATTGCAAAATTTTATTTAACTGTTTCTTATACCTATTGCGATTTAGAATAATATTTTGGCTGATTTTATTTATTTATTATAGTATAAGATTCGATTTTTTAAAAATGTAGAGGTGTTGTAATGTATCAAAAAAAAAATTAAGAAGTAAACAAATACATAATATTTGAATAATGTTTAAGAAAAAAGAGAAAATGGTAATAAATCACTCAATAAAGTGAGAGGGTGTGTGAATTGTGATATATGCTAAACATGAGGGATAATATTAATATTCTTTTTTTTTAATAATCATTTGAGTAAATTATAGTTTTCGTTCAGTTTTTAGTCCATTAACAAAATCAATATTTCTATTGTTTTTTAAAAATATTTTTGGTCTCTTTTATGATTTCAGATGAAAAGAATTATGCGTATATTTTTTAATAATACGACAAAGAATGCTATGAAGTGACATAACCTGTAATATCTTATTTCTCCGTCGATAATTTATATAATAATCAGAGTAAATTAATTTCTAAATAAACATCAATTAAATAGGATGTCACATACTTCAGCAATCATACATGCTCAATTTAGGATACACAACACAATTCACATGTTTATAAGTCTTAAACTTCAAAACATTTATTCGCAGCAGAAAAATATCAAATAATTAGTCATCTCGATCCTCTAATCGGAGTTATAATTATTATCCTTCACACATCAGCATAATCATAAAATAATTCAAATAAAAGAGTAATACATGTTCACTCCTAATCATAACGAAACAAATCACGCGAAACCCCAAATGTTACGTATTAGAGCAGACACTGACTCAATCTACACAACTGAAGGAACTCCTCAACTAACCTTCAATCTCTAGCTACTTCGAATCATCTACACGTTACCCACATGAAGGTAACATTCAAACAGAAAGGGTGAGATATCATAACAATATAAGAGAAAGCATAATATTAATAAGCAGGTGAGATTTAAGCACATAATCAGCACATAACATATATCGTAAAATAATACACACTTTCATCAAGCTTCGCCCACCAGTTTTTCAATCAAAATATGATGCAAAGAACTGACACTAATGCAATGCATGTGGTACCAATCAGGGTAGAACCCTCTTTACAATAATGCCAATTAGGGCAATCAACTTCGCTCGCCAATAAAGATCTTTGCTCGCCAATACAAGCATTTCCTCGCCAATACAGGTCTTAGCTTTATGGATGCATGAGACACTATCATGCAACAATATACTTCTCATTTATCATCAATACTCATCACAATTTCGCCAATACAGGCCTTCGTCATTGCCTTCATCACGTATCTCGTATCACACAATCAAAACGATCATCACAAATAACCACAACATAATTCACGGCATACAAATCAGAACACACTTACAAATCGGTAGCAATGTTGATGAAATAATTAACTAATGCATTATAAATCTTTTCAACGGTCCAAACAGTGTGTCAAACGAACACCCGAGGCAAAAGTTATGGGTTTTAGAAGTTTTTAAAAAAATGTTGTCAGTAGCAGTGGTAACCGGTTACCCAGCTATGGTAACCAGTTACCGAACGACAGTAGCCTCGTTTCTTTTTCAAAATTCATCATGGTAACCGGTTACCGCAGGACAGTAGCTAAACCTCGTTCCAACCATTGATATGGTAATCGGTTACCATATTCGGGTAACCGGTTATCCTGCGATAACAGTGGCAATTTCTGCAATTTTCAGGTTACGACATTCTATGTTTCAACACCCAAAAATCATAATTTTTACATCAAAATTTATCTTTTTAACAAGTTAATTATTCATCAATATTCATCTACCAATTCTAACCAATTCATATCATTCAACCACATCAAAACACATCAAAATCACAAAAATTCCATCAACGGGATCAAACCCCCAAAACAACCAAATATGGAGAAAATCAAAACATACGATTATACAACCTAAATTCTATCATACCCCATCATTAGACAAACCCTTATAGAGTTAGTATCCCCCATTATCTTAGATTATCGCGGTTCTTGATTTCCATGGATGAAACTTCTTGCCCTAGCCTCCTAGTGCTCTTTCTCCTCTTCTCTCTTCTACGTTTCTTCTGTTCTATTTCACGTACTGACATATTCTTCCAACCTCACTTCTTATAATCTAATAATAATAATAATAACTTTCCCAAATAAATAATTATTTAATTATTATTATAAATAATAATTATCCTAATAATATAATAACAATAATAATAATAATAATAATAATAATAATAATCCATATTATTCTGCACACCCCTATGTTTCTACACAATTAGCCAAACACCCCCATAACCTCAATTTCTATAATTCTAAGGTATCTAGTCCCCAACAAGGTATTGCACCACATCATAAATTCCACCAACTCATATAATTTCACCGCATCGTCTTATTTTTTAAATTAAAAGTAAATTTTAATTAAATCAGGTTGTTACAACTCTCCCCCACTTAGAATATTTTCATCCTCGAAAATTACCTGAAGAAAATAACTATATAAGCCTTCCGCATCTTGATCTCTTTACCTCCCACTTCTTTATTTCTCAATCCTCGACCCTCACAGGTACAGTATCAATAATAAGATTATCCCACACTAGCACATCATCTATCAGAATTACATGCGATAGATTTGAAATATACTTCTAGAGTTATGACACATGGAACACATCATGCATATTCAACAGGTTAGATGGAAAGGCCACTCTATACGCAACAGTCCCCACCTTTTCTGAAATTTGATACGGACCAATAAACTGAGAGGTCAACGTCTTTGACTTTAGAGCACGACCTACACCGATTATCGATGATACTCTCAAGAATATATGGTCTCCCTCTTGAAACTCAAGATCCTTCCTCCTCTTATCATGGTAACTCTTTTTCCTACTATGCGAAGCTTTCATCCTTCCTTGGATTACCTTTACCTTCTCCGTAGTCTCTCTCACCATCTCGGGTCCGAGCACCACATGCTCACCCGATTCATACGAATACAAAGGTGTTCTACACCTTCGACCATACAACGTTTTGAAAGGTGCCATACCAATACTAGCATGGTAACTATTGTTATAAGTGAACTCAATCAAAGGAAGAAAACTATCTCAGGTACCTCCCTACTCAAGAATACAAGCCCTCAACAAATCTTCTAGCAATTGAGTAGTCCTTTCCGTCTAACCATTTGTCTGTGGATGATATGTCGAACTCAATTTCAGCTTCATCCCCAAAGCATCCTGCAAACTCTTCCAAAAAGCATAGGTGAACCTCTGATCTTTATTTGACACAATGGTAGAAGTAACACCGTGTAGCTTCATAATTACCCGAATATACATCTATGCCAACTTCGATACAGGAAAATCAATACTAGTCTGAATGAAATAAGCTAATTTCGTTAATCTATCAACACACTACACCGAAAAAGACTTACAAAAGCGCTTTTTTTGGTCTTTAAAAGCGCTTTCGTAGGTGGCGCTGCTATAGGTTTTTGCAGCGCTTTTTGTTTAATGAAAAGCGCTTTCGTAGGTCTACCTAATACAACACTTTTTCTAAAAAGCGCTCTCTTAAGTAGGCTTTTGGCAGCGCTTTTTTATGAAGAAGCGCTTTCATAGGTCTACCTAAGGCAGCGTTTTTTTCTGGAAAAGCGCTCTCATAAGTTTTCTTTTAGCAGCGCTTTTTTCTGGAAAAGCGTTGTCTTAGGTAGGCTTTTAGAAACGCTTTTTTCTGGAAAAGCGCTTTCATAGGTGGTCTTTTAGCAGCGCTTTTGAAAACAAAAGACACGTTGAATCATGTGGTGAGACATTATTAGTTATAAAACAATGAAGACACGTGGAATTCAGCCTGGCCATTAAGCACGGTTTAAGGTATCTGAAAATGCTTGATGTAAAGACATACATGCCAGTCAAAATGCACATTTAGTAACTTAAGAGAGGCAATGTAATCATATATCTTACATAAATAATGACTTTTAAAATGAAAATTGCACAACAAAGTGATTTATTATTAATTGTTTCACTAATTATTGAGTGAAAAAGTAAGTTGTACATTTTATAATATCATCACATGTAGTTTAGCTCTGCATTAAACCTTGTTTCAAACTTATCAACAAACTGAATCAAACTTCCTAAACATATCACAGTGAGGTGTTTCTCTGATATATCTCCACTGGCGTCGCTGCATCTCAAACTGACAATTCTGGCGAAGAATACCAAAGTATTCTCTCTCAACTCTTTCCTCAATTATAAGACGCTCGCGGCTATCCAAGGGATAATCTTGTTCAAACTTTGTGGACTTAACATAGTAGTTAACCCCCTTAGGGGTCGTAAGCTAGTGTTCAAAGGGATAGTTTTGAGAAAGAGTGTAGACAGGATCTGGCGAAGGCAAAAAGTTAATAAGTAAAATGAGAAGCACAAGAAGCACCTGAATCAAAGCTCGGACATTGAATCTGTCAGAGCCATTATCAGCAGCAGGCTGTCTATGAGCCATCCCCGACCCTACAAAACTAAACCCACAGAAATTAGCAGCATGGGCCATTCCTCCAAAGAAGAAATTCCGAAATATTTCCTCACCTTCAACATCAGCATCATAGTAAACATTAAAACCTCTTGCAGAAGTCGGTCTGGCAGCATCACGCCTTTCATAAACCACTTCATCTTCTCCAGAAACATCATACTTTCTCGCCAAGCAGTATTAAATCAAAGAGAATATGATCATGTGGTTGTATAAATCAAAGACAATGGAGTAAGATGGTGCAAAATCAGTAAAAAAAATCCAATATAAAACTTAACAGAATTGACAGGTTCAACTTTTAAGTGCAAAAATGAAGTGTAATCATCATAACCTACAAAGAAATACATGCCATATACACAGTTCAAATAAGCTTATAGACATTATAAATATAATGAAAAGATTTAG